CAACATATACAACAACAACAACATATACAACAACAACAACAACATATACAACAACAACAACAACAACATATACAACAACAACAACATATACAACAACAACAACAACAACAACATATACAACAACAACAACATATACAACAACAACAACAACAACAACATATACAACAACAACAACAACAACAACAACAACAACAACAACAACAACAACAACAACAACAACAACAACAACAACAACAACTCCAACCTGAGTACACTAGTATACCAAAAATCGCTTACTTTCCATCAAGTATTTCACTTCGTGTTTTCAGATACTTCGCGATCCCCTCCTCATTAACTCCATCAACACCAAATATTCTGCGTAGACAATCCAATTCAGTTTGACTGATTATTGTTGGGTCAAACCACTGCGGAAAAGTAGCGGTTTTACCTGGGGAAAAACGTCACTAACGAAAATTTGGAGTTTCTTCACCCTAGTGATATGAAAAACATATTTCACGACTACTGCTTATCAGCGCGTTGAATATCGCGTTTTTCACCGAGTTTTTCGCCACTTCACGTAAAACGAGTTGTGAAACTCCATTGTTTATGCGATATATAGTTTCTCATCAATTTCGGAAAAATAAACGCATATCCTAAATGATCCCCAACGCAGTGGAGATTCAGCCGTTAACCGCGAAATGGCGTATAACACGATATATATTATTCGCAGAAAAACCACGATCCAGAAATCGACTTAATCACATAGCGACAAAACGTCACTGAAAACCGCATCGTAAACCGTTTTACATATGTTACAGCAGACGATACTATTTCGCGGTTTAACGTTTTCCTCGCGAAGCGAAATTTGTCATTCGGAATTTATTACCCAGCGTTTTTCCAAATGATAATAAAATAAAACACCTACGACGCACTCGTTGGAAAAACGACGAGTTGATTTAAGCGCCTCGCTCTCCGACACTCATACGTGTCGACAGAAATCACGCACGTTTTACACCGTTTATCGAAATAAATTACCCACCCTATAAACGTTCACAACTAACTAAGTATGAAATGCGTTTTTATACCACGGGTTGAACTCCATAGTCTATCGGAATAAATTACCCACCCTATAAACGTTCACAACTACCTAAATGGGAAATGTGTTTTTTGATACCACGGGTAAAACTCCATAGTCTATCGGAATAAATTACCCACCTATAAACGTTCACTTACCATGCATCATCTCATTTCCTCCCAACTGAGTAATTCTCTTCAACTTGCCCGCCTGTAAACTGCTCTGTACAGTGTGAGGGTCAGCACGCGTAAACACCGCATCAACTTCGCAGGGATCGAGATTCTAACCGAAATAAAAATTCAATATATTGGAGTTTCACAACCCTTTTTACGCGAAGTGGCGACGCGACATTCAACGCGGTGATATAGTTGTGAAATATATTTTTCATATCACTAGGGGGAAGAAACTCCACTGACTTCGTACAGCGTGTAACTCTGGCAATTCGACTTACCCTTTTCTTCCGAGCTTGCTCCTCTACCACTGTTGCATCCACGAAACTAAACCAAACATGCATATCTACAATTCGAGGATCTGCCTTTTGTTGTTTTTCGTTTTACAAAAAAAAAACAAAAACATCGCTAATTCAACATTGACGTTGTGCCGGTTTCGGCATGCAGTGAAGAATTGCAAGGGCAGCAAGATGATGATATCTGAATATATTTGATTGTGTTATTGTCGTCTTGCGTCTTGTTTCCGCTGTCCCTTAGCGCTAGTTGTATGACGTATTAGTCATAACTATATAAGTAGTTGCGATCTACTACATTCGCTTATTATTGTGCTTCGGCAGTGCGATTCCAGGTGATTGTGGGTGTTTTGTTTACTCAATAAAACCTGCA